TTTTACTTTTAGCTTTTCTCTTTCAAACATATGTAATTTTTTTTTTTTTCCTTCCTTCAATAAAATGAGCAATTCTTTTTAGCACAGATTATTCTTTGTATAAGTTAGCTTTAGAGACTAAGTATATTGCAAACATGTTATTCTAAGTTAGCTGGAAAAACTAACTTAGAGGTTGGCTGGATTAAACCAACATCCTTCCTAAGCCCAGGATAAGGATCCAGGCTGCAGGACATTTGGCCGGAATAACCAAATACTATAAGTTAGCTGGAAAAACTAACTTCAATAGTTGGCTGGAACAAACCAACACTTGTTACTCTTCAGCCGAAGTAAGTGTATGGCTGAAGAGTAGTTGGCTGGAACAAACCAGCACTTGTTACTCTTCAGCCGAAGTAAGTGTATGGCTGAAGAGTGGTTGGCTGGAATAAACCAACACTTGTTACTCTTCAGCCGGAGTAAGTGTATGGCTGAAGAGTAGTTGACTGGAACAAACCAACACTTGTTACTCTTCAGCCGAAGTAAGTGTATGGCTGAAGAGTGGTTGGCTGGAATAAACCAACACTTGTTACTCTTCAGCCGGAGTAAGTGTATGGCTGAAGAGTGGTTGGCTGGAATAAACGAACACTTGTTTCTCTTCAGCCGGAGTAAGTGTATGGCTGAAGAGTGGTTGGCTGGAATAAACCAACCTGTTACTCTTCAGCCGAAGTTAGTGCAAGGCTGAAGAGTGGTTGGCTGGAATAAACCAACTCTTGTTACTCTTCAGCCGAAGTAAGTGCAAGACTGAAGAGTGGTTGGCTGGATTAAACCAACACTTAATACTCCTCAGCCGAAGTAATTATGTCGGCTAAGGAGTGGTTGGCTGGTAAGTACAGTTTAACCAACCAAAAACCGAAATAACATTTGGAGTGAATAGAAGACATTACAAACACAAGCATACACACAATAACCGGAATAAGAGAAGTAAAATTTTCATTCAAAGAGAAGTCATTACAAGGGGGCTTAGTTCGGTTACAAAGGAGAAAAAGTAAAAAAAAGAGAAAAAAGTTCATCAATTTCAGCATCGAAAACCGCATCGGCATCAACTTGAAGACCGGTCTCCGGAGGGAGCTCATTCACACTAGGGTGAGCCACTTCGGCTACGGTTCCACTGGGAGGATCAACAGTTAGGTCTTCAGCAGTGGGCACCGACCGAACTGGCTGGTCCACATTTTCGGCCGGAGTATCTTCATCAGAGGCATCATCAGAGTCAGAGCCTTCCAAAAACTGTTGTTGCAGAGCAGCCGCGTACTCCGCCAGGGACTTCGGTATAAAATAATCTGGAGGGTTGAAGACCTCGGTCTGTTGATCTTGACCGAGCTTCAGACCGAAGTACCTAGTTCGGTATGAGCAAGCTAGTTCGGTGATCCTATTTGCAGCGTCACATTGTTTGACGTAGGCGTCTTCGGCCTTCTTGTAACCTTGTTTATAGCCCTCCTTTTCGGCTTCCACCATGTTTTTTCTTAATTCGCCTATTTCGGCGTCTTTCCTCCTCTCAAGCTTCACCAACTCCCGCAAATACTTGTCCTTCATAATGATGGCAGCTTTCTGCTTCTCCGCTTCCGCCGAATTAACTAGATCGGCAAGACGGCCGTTCTCCGCTTCTAGCTCGGCCATTCTCTTTTCGGCTTGTAGTAGTTTGGCCGACTTTGCTTCGGCTTCCGCCATTGCCTGCCTTGTGGTTTTGCGGAGCTCTTGGACTTTCCTATAAGTGACATTGTTCTTTTGCAAGGCCTGGCAAAACAAAAATCTCATCTCAGCCGAAGTAAAAGTTAGAAAAATTTAGACAGGAAAAAGCAGACAGAGCTACTTACCAAGATCATGGACTTGGAAGCAGACCGAATTGATTTCATTTCGGTGTTCAGTTGCTTCAAGTGGTGCTCCATGTCCTTGGGGAGGCACACACTTTTGGCCAGGTTAAAGGCCAGTTGGTGGTCTTTTTCAGCCACAACCGAATCAGTGGCTTTAATGTTCCGGTCATTGAAGATCAGAGGCGGAGCCCACTTCGGAGAACGAGCTCGGTCAGTTTGCTCTGGTTGGGAGGCAGGATGAGGACTTTGGGGGACGGATTCGACTTCGTCAACAAGTTGCTGTTCGGCTGACGTAGGTCGGGCGCGTTTTGAAGGGCGAGATGAAGAAGGCCGTTGTGAAGGAAGGGCTACGACGGCGGGCTGAACCTCAGTAGTTGGTGTTACTTCGGCCCTGGTTGTTGCGGTCAGGAGGGCCCTAACTCTGCTTTTCTTTGCCATTTCTTCTTCAGCTGTTAGTGGAACAAGTCTTATCTCGGGCAAAGTTGGGTCCGGTTCTGGGTCTTCCTCGAGAAGAAAATCGGTTACCTTTGCTTTCCGTCGACCGCTGTAACGGTAGGTCGGTTCGAAATTTAGAAGCTTGGCCCAATCTCTTTCTTTAACCCGAAATGCGGCTCGCAAAACTCCGAGGTTGGGATAACTATACAAGGAATGGAGATGGGCGAAATCTGCAAAAAAGAGAAGTGTTAGTTCGGCTAATAAACGAAACAACCGAGATAACTTACAAAGCAGAAGACCGAAGTAAAATTACCAGGCTCTCCCATTTTCCAATTTATAGGTCGGCCAGGAATTTGAGCCTGAAAGTCCTCAAAGTTCCCAGAGACCCAAAGGAAATCATCATCATTCAGATCTTTATCCGGAGTGTGTTTAATTATCTTCTCTCGACGGCGACGAATTCTAAGGTAGTAGACCCACCCAGCATTCTTTGAGCCAATAGAGTATTGATGAAAGATCTCGGCCAGACCAAGATTCAGTCCGATTTGGTGGTTTAAAGCGGCTATCCCCATTATAATACGATATGTATTGGTGGATAGTTGGGTGGGACATAGCCTAGTCTGTCTGAGAAATTCGCAGATTAGCGGTTGGACAGGAAACCGTAGTCCGGTTTCTATTATGGATTGAAGTGTAAAAGGCACGAAGCCTTCATTGTTCCAGGGGGTAGCATCTTTTGCGGCCAACGCCAGATGGACGTCGTCAGGAATCTGGTAATCTTGCCTAAATTCGGCCATGCCACCAGGGGTTTCGACTAAATATCTATACTTACCCATTTATTGAATAATTTATGAATAAATTATTTCGGTACAAAAACTAGGCTCAGTAGCTCGGTTGAGCACACGCAGGAGTGCCTGGGCAACCTAAGTCTGCAAAGTAGAAAACAAAGGGGTTAAGCACAGATCGTTGGACCGCGCTACAAATTATAAGCAAGATATACAAATCCTACTTCGGTTTAGCGGGCTGGTTCTACCTCGGCTCATCAGAAGGTTTCTTAGCTCGGTTTCGAGCAGTTTAGTCCGGTTTAACGTCTAGGGGCAGCTTTCTGAGTTCGGTCTAAAAAACTAAGAAAGCTGGTTTAGTCCCAAGGCCTAAATCGGTTGCGATGCGAGGAAAGTT